AGCACTGACCCTCCGACAGTGCCCACTCCCTCAGCACTGACCCTCCGACAGTGCCCGCTCCCTCAGCACTGACCCTCCGACAGTGCCCCCTCCCTCAGCACTGACCCTCCGACAGTGCCCCTCTGTGTTAATAAATGGAAGTTTTCTGTATGTTCGACTCTCAACCAGTTTTGACAGTTTGGTGCCAATCTGCTGTTAGGAATGTCATTTATAGATGAAAGGATCTTATCACCTGTTTTGGTCAGTGATGTGGGATGATTTTCTCAATGTGATTATGTTGGTAATGAAGGCACAGACTCAGTGTGGGACATACCCTCGTTGCTGTTGTCAATGCAAAAATCAAACAATTCCATTCTGGTATTAATCCATGGAACAAATGACTGAACAGACCGTGGCTCCTTTCTCTGGGAAAGGGACAGTTTACATATAGTTTACATATAGGGCCTTTAAAATGATGAATGGTTTAGAGATTTAGCTTACAAATATTTCTTTTTAGGGTGGGCCCATACAGGTAAGCTGGGGTCATGAACAGATCTGACAGGGAGTTCAGGAGAAGGCTTTGTACCAGAGAGTGGTGGGTGCTGTCTGGTGCAGAATTTACTGTCATCTACAAAAGGGAAGCCAATTTGAAGGTGAGAGAAAATGTACATGACTGTGGGGAAAGAGCATTGAGAGTGGGATAGGATAGATGGCTGTACCAAAGGGTTGGCATGTACTCAATGGACTGACTGGCTTCCTTTTGTATTGTACGATTCTATAAAGGATTGTTTGAGTGAGAACTGGATGAAACACACTGAGGATAGAGGAATGCTGAAGATGGGCTGAAGAGAGGGTAGGAACAGGAGCCTCACCTGGAACAGAAATTGCAGCACAGAGCAGAAGGGCAGAATGGCCTGTTTATTTGCTCAAGGCTCGATGTAACAGAGGTTGAAATGAATGCGAAAATGCTCCCTTAGATTGAGTTTCAGAGAAATTGTTCTACATTAAGCACTCTAACTGTTAATTTTTCAGTGATTTTTCAGATCAAGGCCTATGGCTGTTCATCATGATATCGTCAGCTCATTATCAAGGAATGTAACTCAGCTTTTCAATTTATGCCAGCTCTTCACATTGGCTTCACAGTGTGACACTGAAGATAAGCCCTGTACGACAATACTTACATAGCAATGCCTTTCCAAAATCTGTATTACAAAACTGCAGGATTCAGTATTTCTTTGCAACCTGTTGTCACTAAACCATAAAGACATAATCTCATAATCCAGTCTGTCACTCTCTGAGGAATACCACAACACAAATTGAACCAAACACAAGGTAATTCCAGCTCTGTTTTGGCCATTAAATGAAGGCAAAATACAGACAGATTCAGCAGGTCTGGCAGCATCTGTAGAGACAGTAACAGAGTTAATGCTTCGAGTCCAAAGAAGGGACACTGGACTTGAAGCATTAAGTATTTCTCTCTCCACAGATGCTGCCACACCTGCTGGGTCTCTCTGTATTTGGTATCTGTTGTCTTTTGTCCAAAATTGTTTTGGCCATTCCATAATAAACAGCTGCTTCCTTCCACAGTTTTAAAAATGTGGGAGCAGAAAGTGGCCATTTAGGCTCTCAAGCCTGTTCCATCCCACTGTCTGTACCACCTGCCTTGGCTCCATATCCTTCAACAGCTTCGTTTAACAAAATCTGATCTCAGACTTAAAATGATTGATTGTGCCCCAGGTAATAGTCCCAGGACCTGGGTCTGAACCCACCACACCCGATGGTGGAATTTGATTTTAATAAAAATCTAATGATGACCAAGAAACAACTGTTAATTGCCGGAAAATCCATCTGGTTCCTGAATGTCCTTTAGGAAACATAAGAAATAGGAGCGGGGATAGGCCATCTGGCCCTTCGAACCCACTCTGCCATTCAATAACATCATGGCTGATCTTTTCATGGCCTCAGTTCCACTTACCCATCCTCTCACCGTAACCGTTAATTCCTCTACTCTTCAAAAATCTATCTATCTTTGCTTTAAAAACATTCAATGCGGAAGCCTCAATTACTTCACTGGGAGGGGAATTCCACAGATTCACAACACTTTGGATGAAGAAGTTCCACCTCAACTCAGTCCTAAACCTGTTCCCCCTTATTTTGAGGCGATGCCTCTTGTTCTAGTTTCACCTGCCAGTGGAGACATCCTCCCTGCTTCTATCTTATCTATTCCCTTCATAATTTGATATGTTTCTGTAAGATTCGCCCCTCATTCTTATAAATTCCAATAAATATAATCCCAGTCTATTCAGCCTCTCCTCATAAGTCAACTCTCTCAACTCCAGAATCAACCTGGTGAACCTCCTCTGCACCCCCTCTAGTGCCAGTACATCCTTTCTCCAGAAAGGAGACCAAAGCTGTACACAATACTCCAGGAGTGGCCTCACCAGCACCCTATACAGCTGCAACATAACCTCCCTGTTTTTAAATTCAATCGCTTTAGCAATGAAGGACAAAATTCCATTTGCCTTCTTAATTACTTGTTGTACCTGCAAACCAACCTTCTGTGATTCATGCACAAGGACACCCAGCTCCCTCTGCACAGCAGCAGGCTGCAATTTTTTACCGTTCAAGTAATAGTCCTTTTTACTGTTATTCCTACCAAAGTGGATGACTTCACACTTCCCAGCATAGCCACATCCTTGCCCACTGAATTAACCTATCTACGTCCCCTCTGCAGACTTTCAGTGTCCTCTGAACACTTTGTTCGACCACTCATCTTCTTGTCATCTATAAACTTTGATACACTATACTTTGTCCCCAACTCTAAATCATCCATGTAAATTGTAAACGATTGCAGTTTCAACACTGATCCCTGAGGCACACCACTAGCTGCTGATCACCAAACAGAAAACCACTCATTTATCCCCACACTTTGCTTCCTGTTAGTTAACCAATCATCCCTCCATGCTAATACATTGCTCGTAACACCGTGCACCTTTATCTTCTGCAGCAGGGTTTTGTGTGGCACCTTGTTGAGTGCCTTCTGGAAATCCAGATACACCACATCTACTGGGTCCCCGTTGTCCACTGTGCACATAATGTCCTCAATGAATTCCAGAAAATTAGTTAAATGTGACCTGCCTTTCATGAACACATGCTGTGTCTGCCCAATGGGAAAATTTCTATCCAGATGTCTCGCTATTTCTTCCTTAGTAATAGATTCAAGTATTTTCCCCACTACAGAAGTTAAGCTAACTGCCTATAGTTACCCACCTTTTGTCTACCTCCTTTTTTTTTATCAGTGGTGTTACATTTGCTGTTTTCCAATCTGTTGGAACTGGAAGGAAACTGACAACCTCACCTAGTCTGACCTACCTGTCGCTCCAGACTCTCAGCCATGTCGCTGACTCTTAACTGCCCAATGGGTAATTAAAGATGGACAATAGCCAATCATGCCCATGGCCAGGTTTCATGGCTAGTAAAACACACCATGGTGAGAAGCATTGAGTTTTATTTGAGGGTTCATTCTGTTCCTGTAAAGGCTGGGAATCACAAACAGTTCATAACACAGGAGAATGGCTGGGTTGAGGTGGGGACTGGGGAAATTTGTGATTCCCAAACCAGGCAACTCAGAATGGGAAAATTAAGGGGAGGATTAAATAGACGTGTTTAAATTTGGAAGTGTTTTGGCAGAGTAGGCTGTGACACAAGGGAAGACAATTGCTCAGTCAGCTGTAATGATAGTTGGGAATGATGAAATGATACTTGTAAAGCCTGATAAGGTGGTGGAAGAAGATTCAATAATTATGTTCAAAAAGGAATTGCATAAAATGTTGAACAGGGTAAAAACAAACTGCCAGACCATGGGGAGAGAGCAAAGTGTTAGAAACCTCTCTCAAAGAGGTGGCTCAGATGCGAGGAGCTACCAGATGTCTGTCTGCGCTCTATCATTATGCGATTCTATGAGGTTTTTACACAACTTTGTGGCCTGTTTAAGACAACACAATATGATCACATGTTTTTGATAAGGGTCCACATGGCAGACTAATGGTTAAAGTGACAGCCCATGGGATCCAAGGAAATTTGACAAATTGGATCCAGAATTGGCTGAGTATTAGAAAACAGAGGGTGATGGCTGAGGATTGTTTTTGTGACTGGAAGCCTGTGTCCAGTTGGGTTCCACAGGGACCAGGGTTAGGGTCCTTGCTGTTGTGGTATATATAAATCATTTAGGTTGAATGTAGGAAGGTTGATCTGTAAGTTTGAGGATGATATGAAAATTGGTGGGTGACAAATACTGATGAAGATAGCCTTAGACTACAAGAGGATATAGATGAGCTGGTCAGATGGACTGATCTGTGGCAAATGCAATTCAATCCAAATAAATGTGAGGTGATGCACTTGGGCAGCACAAACAAGGCAAGGGAATACATGATGAACATTAGGACTCTGGGAAGAACTGAGGATCAAAGGGACCTTGGTGTATGTGTCCACCAGTCCCTTGGGTAGAGGGACAGTTAGACAAAGTCGTGAAGAAAGCATATAGAATACTTGCCTTTATTAGCTGCAGGGAAGTGATGCTGGAACTGTGTAAGATGTTGATTAGGCCATAGCTGGAGCATTGCGTGCAGTTCTGGAATCTACATTCTAGGAGGGATGTGATAGCATTGAAGAGGGAGATTTACCAGGATGTTACCTGGGTTGGAGAGTTTCAGTTACAAAGAGAGATTGGACAGACTGGGATTGTTTTCCTTGGAGTGGAGGAGACTGAAAGGGGGACAGGATTGAGATGTATAAAATGGTGAGTGCCATAGACAGGGCAGACAGGAAGAAACTTTTTCCCTCAGAGAAAGGATCAATGGTCAAGGGACATAGATTGAAGGGAAGGGGCAGGAGGTTTAGAGAAGATGTGAGGAAATCCTTTCTCACCCACGGGATGGTGGGAATCTGGAGTTCACTGTCTGTAAGGGTGGGAGAGGCAGAAACCCTCCAAATACTTAAGAAGGATTTAGATGTGCACTTGCAAAATCAAGGCTGTGAACTAAGTGCTGGAGAATGGGATCAGAATAGTGAGGTGGTTGGTTTTGATTAGTGCAGACTCAATGGGCTGAGGAGTCTTTACCTATGATGTAAATCCCTCTGACTCTATAACTCTATAAAAGTGACCAAAACAGTTTTCTGAAATCACAATCTGTTATTCTTTCTGCAAAGGAACTGAGCCAAGATTCAAGTTTGTGAGAAAGATGTGGAGGGATTAAGGCACTGTAAACAGCTGCGTGAGGTTGAGTTAATAGAAATGGTTAATGGTGGCCCATTTAGACTGATACAAATGTCTGCCCAGATATTAACATTGGAAAGTGTAGGGAATGGAGATTGCACTGGGGTGGGTTCAGGTGGGTGGACCTGCTGCACTCGGGCTGAAGGACTTAACTTCTTACCTTTGAAGAATACTATTTTGTGGTCTGCAGTTCTTTCATAGACAGAGTCCACACCTTCCATGTTGCTGGGTAAACCCCGCCAGAATCGCTGGATCTCTGCTGGTTGCAAGGAGACCAAATGTCTGTTACGGGTCAGGCGCCAGAAATACTTCCCTATGAGAGCAAACACAAGTGGTTACTGAAGGAAGCAGATTCCAAAACAGGAGTGTAACATCCCAGTCTACAATGCAACACTTCACACATTATCCTCAATTCCCTCCCTGCCCTCTCAGTAACCTCCTTCATCTCCACAACCCTCCAGGATCTCTACACTCCTCCAGCTCTGGCCTCTTTAGCATCTCTAATTTTAATTGCTCCACCACTGGCAGCTTGAATTCAGGTGTCCAGGGCCTAACCCTGCAATTCTCTCACATCAACCTCTCCGTACCGCTGCCTCCTTAAAAATTCTGCACGGAACCCGCCTTTTAGATTGAGCTGTCTGAATATTGAATTCTGTTGCATAAAAGCTCTTGAGCCTTGGCTCATGGAATCATAGTCATACAGTCAGAGTCACGCAGCACAGAAACAGACCCTTCGGTCCAACCAGTTCATGCCGAACATAATCCCAAACTAAACTAGTCCCACCTGCCTGCTCCTGGCCCATATCCCTCCAAACCTTTCCTATTCATGTACTTATCCAAATGTCTTTTAAATGTTTTAATTGTACCCACATCCACCACTTCCTCAGGATGTTCATTCCATAAGTGAATCACACTCTGCGTAAAAAAATTGCCCGTCATGTCTTTTTAAAATCTTTCTCCTCTCACCTTAAAGATGTGCCCCCTAGTCTTGAAATCCCCCAACTTAGGGAAAAGACAACTATCATTAACTCTATCTATACCCCTCATTATGTTATAAACCTATATAAGGTTGCCTCTCAACCTCCTATGCTCCAGTGAAAAATGTCCCAGCCTATCCAGCCTTTCCTTGTCAAGGGTACAATATGTATGTAAATTATTCTGTGCACAGCCTGCTTCATCACCGAAACTGCACTCATCAGGTCAATTATCAAGATTAGTAATATAAAGGGAAAACAACAGTTAAACTGCATGGGAAGACAGTGCTGATTTGTTAGCAAGTGAACTCGTTCAATTGTTATTGCAATTACAGTATTATTTAATATTTAACTCCTAATAATTACAATCAGAGTCCACCTGCTAACCAATCAGCACTCTCTTCCCATGCAGTATAAATGTTATTTTCCCTTTATATTTTTACTTTTACAAATTGTGTTGATGAATGCAAGATAAAAACCTTTGGCAAAACGTTTCCTTGGTTCATCAATAAATAGGTTTTCTATGACCAAGTGACTACTTGTGAAATTGTTGCTCTTGCTGTGATGTAGATTTCAGAAAGGACTTTGACAAGGTCCTAAATGGGAAAACTGATAGAGAAGGTAAAAGTACGTGGGATCCAGAATAACCTGGCAAGTTAGATCCAAAATTAGTGACAGGAGAGGGTGGTGGTAGAAGGCTGTCTGTGTGACTGGAGCCCAGTGTGTCCTGGCATACCACAGGCATCAATGCTGGGTCCTGCATTATTTTTGATATTCATAAATGATGGAGATGAGAATGAGGAGTGGTGATAAGTAATTTTGCATGACACAAAGATTGGCTGACAGTGAGGAGGAAGGTGTTAGTTTAGAGGAGGATGGGAACACCCGCACCTCCAAGTTCCCCTCCGAGCTACTCACCATTCTGACTTGGCAATATATCGCTGATCATTCACTGTCATTGGGTCAAAATCCTGGAATTCCCTCCCTAAGGGCATTATGAGTCAACCCACAGCACAGGGACTGCAGCAGGTCAAGAAAGCAGCTCACCCCCACCTTCTCAAGGGGCTACTAGGGACAGGAATAAATGCTGGGCCCAGCCAGCGACGACCACATCCCACAAATGAATAGAAACAAAAATGGATTGGTCAGATAAACAAAGTAGTGACAGATGGAATTTAACCCTGAGAAATGTGAGGTGATGCACTTTGGAAGAAGGAACAAGACAAGGGGAGTACTCAGTAAATGGCAAGACACTAGGAAGTGCAGGGGGACAGAGGGATCTGGGGCATGCTTATCCATAGACCCCTGAAGGTGGCAAGGCAGGTTAATAAGGTACTATAGTCAAAAAGGCACACACTGCCTTTATCAGGCATGGCAGTGATTGTAAGAGCAGGGAGGTTATGTTGGGGCTGGACAGGACTTTAGTTAGGCCCCAGCTGGAGCACTGTGTATAGTTCCGGTCGTTGCACTATAGGGAGGATGTGATTACACTGAAAGGGGATGAGGAGGAGATTCACCAGGATGCAGGCCTGGGACGGAGCATTTCAGCGATGGAGGGAGGCTGGATAAGCTCGGGTTGTTTTCTTTGGAGCAGAGAAGGCTGAGGGGGGACCTGATAGAGGGGTATAAGGTTATGAGGGACATGGACAGGGTGGATAGGAAGCAGCTGCTCCCCTTAGTCGAAGGGTAAGTGACACAAGGGCACATTTTTACAGTTTTTCTACAGACTTGATGGGTCGAAGGGTCTCTTACATACTGCCTGATTCTATAATTCCACGATACTATAAAATGGAGTAGAATTATTGACTTGGCTGCTGCAGTTCTTGTCTATTCCAGCAGATGGGGCAATGCACCAAACTAGATACACTTGAAGAAGGCACATATTGCACGGCTTCATTGATAGCACCACTGGAAATTTTAACGTTTAATATTACTGCCTTCAATTCATTACAACATCTCTCCCTGCTCATAAATAGCTTCCTATTCCAATCATTTGTCAAATCTTTCAATAATAGTTATAATATATTGTTTCATCTTCAGGCTGACATTATTGCCTTTAAATTGCAGAGAAAAGCACCAATATATCACAGGATATGATTTGTAATCAAGTGAACAGCAGTGGTTTGAGAGCTGGCCCTTGGCTGTTGTGTGAAAAATTAAGAGAATATGAGAGCGCACAAAAGAAAACCAGGAGCCAATCTGACCCATCAAATTGTTGCAAATTGACTGCCCAACCATTACAACCATACCCACACTTGAAAAGTACCTCAATGACTGCGAAATATTTTGAGAGACCCACTGGTTGTGAAAGGTGCTGTCTAAATGCGAGTTTTTTTTTTACACACATCTATTGGAGCCCGCTGGAGGATTTTGTTCAATTCATGACAAGTGTAGCTGTTCACCTGACATTTGGAAGCTGTGACCCATATAGATGTGGAGGTGCCAGTGTTGGACTGGGCTGGGCAAAGTTAGAAGTCACGGAACATCAGGCTACAGTCCGACAGCTCTGCTCTGAAAGCTTGTGATTCCAAATAAACCTGTTGGACTATTACCTGGTGCCGTGTGACTTCTGACTTTGTGACCTGCCTTGACAGCACAGAAACACATCCTGCTCCATGTTTGTGTTTCTATTTCACATGCGCCTTCTCCCTGCCCTGCTTTATCTCGCCTCCACACCCCCTCTCCCCAACCCCATTCCCATCTTGGCATCCTTCTATTCGTTAGCAGCTAGGACAGAGCTTGAATATTGCTGCACAAAGTGACCCCCTTTTAAAACAACGTTTCTGAATTAATTTATGTTGTTAAATTTGAACAAAAAATGGGTTGTAACTGTTCCTAGGTGCATTTGCTATGGCAAAACTTGGCCAATCAAAGTCCACTTGCTAACCTATCAGCACCCTGTTTGTCATAGAGTCATACAGCATGGAAACAGGCCCTTCGGTGCAACCAATCTGTGCCGATCATAATCCCAAACTAAACTCGTCCCACCTGCCTGCTCCTGGCCCATATCCCTCCAAACCTTTCCTATTCATGTATCTATCCAAATATCTTTTAAATATTGTAATTGTACCCACATCCACCACTTCCTCAGGAAATTCATTCCACACACAAACTACCCTCTGTGTAAAAAATTTGCCCCCCATGTCTTTTTTAAATCTCTGTCCTCTTACCTTAAAAATGTGCACCCTAGTCTTGAAATTCCCCCATTCTAGGGAAAAGACAATGACCGTCAACTCTATCTATACCCCTCATTATTTTATAAACTTGTATCAGGTCACCTCTCAACCTCCTGCACTCCAGTGAAAAAAGCCTCAGCCTATCCAGCCTTTCCTTATAACTCAAATCTTCCATACCCAGCAACATCCTGGTAAATCTTTTCTGAACCCTGTCCAGCTTGATAATGTCCTTCCTATAACTGGACAACCAGAACTAGACACAGTATTCCAGAAGAGGCCTCACCAATGTTCTGGACAACATCAACATGATGTCCCAATTCCTATACTCAAAGGTCTGAGCAATGAATTGATGATCCCTTTGACATTTGCGTTCTTGTGTCTGTCCTGATGAGAGCAAAGTAGGATATGTTTGTGTAATGTGTTAATCCAACTACCCCTCTAAGGTATCTGGGCGGTTTCCCCCCATGTTTCACTATCACAAAGTGTAGGGTGGGAGAACCCTTGGGGAAAGCCCCCAGTGGGCCAAATGGCCTCTTTCTGTGCTGGACATTTTATATAGAGTCAGAGAACACAACGGGGAAAGCGAGTGAACCATATGTAAAATTAATACGAATAGTCACATGTATATAAAACACAAATGAAGACCAAAAACAAACAGCTACAGTTTTGGGTGTTCCAAGAATTCTGGCCATATGTGAATTCCCTGTTTTTAATGGTGGCCATGACTCTAGCTGCCTGGTCCTAAGGTCTGGAATCTCCTCTGAAACCTTTTCAGTTCTCCACCTCTCTCACCTCCTTTAGAACGGTCGCTAAAACCTAGCTCATTGCCCAAGCTCAGTGTTAAGTTCTGTTTTAATAATTAATGTTAAAGGATGCCATATAAATGCAAGTTGTTGTGGACAAGAGGCATATGAAGCAGGTACAGGAGTGAGAGGCATTGACTGGGATATATTGTCAGTTTGCAAGACCAAGAACAAACGAGAGCCTAGTAAAATAGCGAGCAGAATAATACTATTGGACGTGAGAACATAAGTAGGCCATTCAGCCCATCAGGTCTGCTCCACCACTTAATGAGATAATTGCCGATTTGATCATCGACAATTACACTTTCCTGCCTTTTTCCCACAACCCTTGATTTCTCCTTCCTGATTAAAAATCTGTCTGTCTCAGCCTTGAATATGTCTAATGACCCAGCCTTGACAGCCCTCTGCAGGAAATAATTCCACACATTCACTTCTCTCTGAGAGATGGAATTCCTCCTCATCTCCGTCTTAAACTCCTTCCTTATTCAGAGATGATGCCCTCTGTGCTAGACTCTGCCACAACAGGAAACAACCTTTCCACATCTGCCCTGTCAACTCGTCTAAGAATCTTGTGTGTTTTAATAAGGTCACCTCTCATTCGTCTCCACTCCAGTGAGTACAGGGCCAATCTAGTCAACCTCTCCTCATGAGACGATCCATCCATATCTGGGAACAAGCTAATGAATCTCCAACAGAATACGTGGACTGAAATTACAAACTGGGAAAGTTTGCTGCATTCAGTTTCAATGCTGCATTGTAATAAATCATGAGAGACTTGCAGAATGGAAACTCACAGAAGACAGGCAGCTTTCTGATCTGCAGATCCTAATGTCTTTAACACTTTCAAGGGTATTCTGTGGGGATATTTTGAAGCAAAACAGCTCACGTTTATACATCATATTGTCACATTGTCAGGAGGACTCAAGGAATCACGTGATCAGTAGTTTCTCTTCTAGTTCTTGTGAGATAGGGCAGCACGGTGGCTCAGTGGTTAGCACTGCTGCCTCACAGTGCCAGGGACCCAGGTCTGATTCCACCCTCGGGCGACTGTCTGTGTGGAATTTGCACATTCTCTCTGTGCCTGCATGGGTTTCCTCCGGGTGCTCCAGCTTCCTCCCACAGTCCAAAGATGTGCAGGTTAGGTGGATTGGCCATTCTAAAATTGTCCTGTAGTGTCCAGGGAAGGGTAGACTAGGTTGGTTAGCCATAGAAATGCAGGCTCATGGGGATAGGACAGAGGGGTGAATCTGGGTGGGATGCTCTTTGGAGGGTTGGTATGGGCCAAATGGCCTGTTTCCACACTGTAAGGATTGTATGATCTTTCCTTAGATAAGGGGATGAAAGTTATTCACAGTATTCCAGCTGTACTAAGCAAAGACGTCCATCGTATATATAGAGAAAGATTAGAAAAATTGAGACTGTTCACCTTACAGTGGTGAAGGTGAAGCCAGGGGAAATACTTAATTAGCCACATGAAGAGAATGTGGAACTCAGTGCCACAGGCAATGGTGAAGGTGAATAATTTATTTTAATGTATTTTAAAGAAAGCTAGATTAACACTTGGAGGGAGAAAGAAACAGAAAGCTACAGTGTTGGAGTGAGATGAACAGAGACTGAGAAGATGATAGGTAACAGCAACAGCAGCTCGAAGCAGTTGGGCTGAATGGCCTTGTTCTGAGCAGTATGTTCATGTTCTGTAAGAATATTCAAGCTCTCAAAGGATTTTAATATTCTTCAATGTTCAATGTTCTTTAAGAGTATTCAAGCTCTCAAAGGATTTTAATGTTCTTCAATGTTCAATATTCTTTAAGAGTATTCAAGCTCTCAAAGGATTTCAGTGGGGCAAACAACGAGATACACTTCATGAGCAGGAAGGTCAACAAATAAAGGAAAATAAAACAAAGAACTGAGGATATTGGAAATCAGGCACAAAAACAGAAATTGCTGGAGATACTCAGCAGGTCTGGCAGCATCTGTGGCGAGAAATCAAAGTTAAATGTTTCGGGTCCAGTGACCCTTCTTCAGAACTGATTGTAGTTGGAAAAGATTGGTATATATGCTGAGGATGGGGAAGGAGGGGGTGAGGAGTCTATGATAACAAAAACAAAGTTGCTGGAAAAACTCAGCAGGTCTGGCAGCATCTGTGAAGGGAAAAAACAGAGTTAACGTTTCGGGTCTGGTGACCCTTCCTCAGAACTGATGGTGGCTGGGAAAACGTCAGTTTATATGCAGAAAATAGGCAGGTGGGTGGGGTAGGGAGTAAACGATAGGATAGAGCCCAAAGAGAGAGAAAGACAGTTGGACAGACAAAGGAGTTGCTAATGATCAGGCTGGGAGGGTGAGTAGTTGTTAATGGGGACTGTTAGTGACTAACAACAGGGGGTGTGTAATGGCAGGCTATGTGATAACAAAAGTCAACGATAAGTGGAGATGGAGCCCAGAGAGAGACAACAACAGTTGGACAGACAAAAGAATTGGTAAAGGTCAGGCTGGGAGAACCAACAGCTGCTAATGGGGAAACCATTAGTGGCTGACAATGATAGCAGGAACTGCAGATGCTGGAGAATCTGAGACAACAAGGTGTAGAGCTGGATGAACACAGCAGGCCAAGCAGCATCAGA